TCCTCACGGTGCAGGATCGACAGCTGCGGCTCCCCCGTCAACTCTGCTTCCGCCTCTCGCTCTGGTGGCGTTCCAGAGTCAACGGTAGCGTGTTCGGGGATTGATTTATCGCATCTAGACGAGACGCGATAAATCGATCCCCAATAGATCGATCGCTACCCGCCGATCTGTCTGTACTGGGGATCATCATACTTCCTTACTTCACAGGGGTGTTATGAGGATAAATACATTAAAGGTTCTGAGATGCTCAGATTTTTGGCAGGGGGGGAAGGGGGGTGGGCGGGCATATAAATGCTTTAGATAAACACTCCAAAAATCCCAAAGCACTCAGACTTTACAGCCTGATTATGAAAAATGGCCTAGATTCAATCTTTTGCTCTCAGAGGGATCACTGTGGCAGCCTGAGTCCCGTGGGGAAATTCTGGCAGAATTAAGCTGAATTCTTCCTCTAGGCTCCATGTGAGTGCAGGCCAGGGCATCCTTGGAAACTGTGCTGTGGCTCTTTCTATTTGCAGCGAGGTAGTCAAGCACAGAGAAAGAGTAACAATGACAGACCCTGGTCGTCGTCGGGTGGGATCGAACCTGGGACCTCTGAAGCTCTACTGCATTAGCTAAAACCCAACTGGCTGTTAGCTAAGGCTGTAGAGCAGACTCATTAATCGCTCTCTCTAAGTGATCTCAGTCCCATGAGATGGGACAAAGCACCACACCCAGAAAGTGTGTGAGTTACATTTGTATTATAGTGGAGCTTAGAGGCCACAATTGAGATCAGGACCCCTTTCTAGAAGGTGCTGCCTGAACACATAATAAGAGACCATTTCTGTCTAAATAGACAAGACATAGGGAGAGGAAACAGAGAGGCAAAGTGACTTCATCAAAGGCACACTGTCTGCAATGGAACTCAGGTCTCCTCCCTTCCAGTCCAGTGCCTGATCCATGGCCCTGCTCTCAGCTCTGTCTTATTCTCCCTCTCAGGTGGACCATGGAGGCACTCCCAGGGAACGTGACCTGTACCATCCAGTCACTTCGTAGCTGACCCCAGTGCTTTCCAACACATAGGCTCGGTGCAGCGTCCAGCTACTATGGATCTATATAATAGAGTGAAATAGAGTGAAAAAGGAAACCACTTCTAGTTGAAGCTTCAGGGGGATTTTAAGTGGGCAAAATTTAATTACCCAGATTATTATGTGGTCAGAGCACCGAGGCTAATGTCCCTACTCCTCTGAAAGTTGTTTTCAATGTGTACAGCATGGTCTGGACCTTGGTTTTACAGACTCCGGGCATTCTGGGGTATCAGTTCCATATTGACTCAGTAGAGCTCCTCCTTCTCAATCACCAACATCACTGGGTTAAGGATTATGCTGAGATTAGCCAAAACCATTGGGTCACATTCGTTCCTGGTGTATCTCCATTGAATCAGAAAGGCACAATTATTACCCCCCTTCCTGTTATAATTCCTATTTCTTGTATTGTCTTTTCATCTGTAGATCTCAGTACTTCACAATGTTTTAATATATTCCTCCTCATGACACCCCATTTTATAGCTAGGGACCCGAAACACAAAAAGGCTAAGTGACTTGCCCAAAGTAACACAGGAATTCTATGGTGGCATAGCATAGAACTGAACTGTCTCCCATGTCCTAGCCTAGAACCCTACCTCCTGGACCTCCTTGCTCTTCAGCAGCCAGACAGAATATGGCTGGGAAGTACAGGTCTTGCTTCCTATAGTGTTCCCATAGATATAATTGCCTTAGAGGAATTGTGCAGGGATGGGATAATAACAGAGATGAGGGTGGGGTAATAAGATATCCCTACCACACACCAGCTAGCAGAGCTGTCTTGGTCTGGGTGGGTGGCAGTGTCCAATGATAGCAGGGATACTGCTTCAGCATTCTATGCCCAGGAGTAACACAAGAAGAATTCTGGTGGATTCAGTCCTTTTTCTTCTGAGAGCAAAAGGCAGAGATGTAGCCCCATCTGAGTAGATCAGATTCAGCATAGTTGTGATTCCACTGAGAATTTGGCCCACTTTATAAAAAGATGGCTATCTCAGGCAGAGTTTAATAACTAATATTGGAAAGGACAGTGTTGAAAATCAATAGTTAATATATACTGTTCTCCCAGAAACTGAGTTGCTGCAATAGGTTATCATGGACATCTGTAATAGTTTCAGTTTAGAAATTGCTGATAGTTTGAGGGCAGTCTCTTGCTGTTTGGGTCTTTCTTGGTCTATTAACTTATCCCTGTGCTAGGGCAATAAAAATTCTGGTAGTCACATAGTCACTTCATTGCTCTTTATTTGTTGTTTTCTTTCTATGCTAGCCTATGATTTGTTAGACAACTTTTCTATGGCCAGTCTTTGAAGGATGGCTTTAAATAAACAGATTTGCAAAATGGAACTGTTACTTGTTGTTCTATAGTTTTCCTTTCCAATAAATCATACAACCTCTGTTAGTAGAATGCTTTCTTACTGCTTTTATGCTTCCACATAGTTTAGAGCAACCTTGCAAAGTTACCATGAAAATTTACCATCTAAGGAAGACAACCTGTTCATCCACCCTTACTATTGTGATGATGGAGATGATGATACTTCAGAATATTTTATTTACCCACCAAAAATAATTATCCTAGACAAGTGATTGAGTAGAAGTTTACAAGATTGCTTAAGAAGTATCTCTGAGTTTTCACCTCTTTAGTTTCATACCATTGTTGGCTGAGGGAAGTGGGGGGCCTACACACAATTTAATGGCCTTTCTCCATTTTTCTACCCATGTATAACAAAGTAAATAAAGAAAACCACATATGACCAATTGCAAAATTTCAGTGGATGTTCTAGGCATAAATGGACCAGTGAAGTGCATGAAACTCTCTAGTTTTAATACAGTACAGGCATTTTACTAGAGCATTTTGTTGTATCTTAAAAGTTTGAAATAAACGCTATTTGAATAGTGTCTTTTTATTACAAAATGACAATCATATTCTTTTTTTGCATTTTTTTACCATCTCTTTTGAGGGAAAGTGAATGGGAAGGCAATATGTTGACTGGACTGACTGGATCTCAGTCAATATGCTATCCTCCTCTCCAAATGTTAGGATGGCAAGGAATGAAACACAGGAAAGGTAAATCTTTCTTCTTTAGTTCCTTGTGTTCTCTCTTGATTGACTCTCATTGGCTGGTGATTGGAAAACTGGGCTCGGAGGATTGTGTTGTGATATCAGATACAATATTGGGTCAATAAATGAAAGAAAATGGAAGATCCTGCAGGTCTTCACATACTCCTCCCCACAAGATGTCAGATTTTTTGAGTTCTTGACCTTAAAGAGGTCTGGTTTTCAGAGGTTCGGCTTTCATCACTGTTTGAAAATCTGGGCTATTTTAAGCTGTAAAGTTCTGCACCCAAAATCGCAAGTCACTTTTAAAGATCTTGGCCTTAGTCTAATTTTCTTGGGTTTTTAATAAATTTTACAGTTTTTCTTTATATCATCTAAAAACACTTTTCTGTGTGATGGTTGATTAATTCCTATCAATTTGTAGCTTTGATGGTTTTTTTGTTTTGAAATTGACAACAATGGGTTTGGTTTTATTATGAATGGCAGCAGGCCTGGAATTGGCACTAGAAATGATTTCAAGACAACTTAAAGAAAAGCATGATGCTCATTTCCCAAAAGTTATTAACAGCTGGTGATGTTCATCTTTCAAAACACTGTACCAGCTTTTTAATGAAATGTTTAATGTATATGTGCTAGAGCTGATCTAAAATCAGAATTTCCATCCCGTGGGAAATTCTGATTATGACGGAAGTAGAATTACTCTGTAATAATCTAAGAATACTGAAGAATGCTAGATACTAATCTAGTTATTGAGAGAGTCTGTATAGCATATAGTAGGGGTAGTGGAATATTATTCACCTATAATTCAGTAGGGACTGTGGAAGGCAGGGAGGCATAAGAACATCCCAGAACACACTTGAAAGACAATGGGGGAAGCTATTGACTTTGAGGATCCTAAAGCCTGTATCCAGCTAAGATGCAAGCTGTGTCTTGCCAGGCTGTGAGCCTAGAGATCAAAAGGATACTAAGCAGTTTAAAACCCTCTGAGGAGAAGAGGGAGAGTTGTCAATTTCCAAGGGCTGGCTAGGGAGCCAAGCTGATAAAGAGGGAGGGGCTGTATAGAGGAATCTGTAGGAAACTACACCTACAAGGTCCCTGTGTGGAAGATGGTTAGACACCTGGTAAGCTAGACATGCATACTGTCTTTTTAATCTTGGAGAACAATTTTCTCTGAAATGCTTTAGTTCTGATCAATAATATTTTGCTGATTGGTCACTGCTTACCACTGTCATTATTCCCACAGGTGCTGAAGATAACTCAGACCTGCTGAAGGAATCATGGTTGATCTCAGGAAACTGCAGGTCAGAGCCCGCTCTGAGAGTGGGAGAGTTGTGTGATTCCACCCCAAGAAAGGTGACAATCTGAGACATGCAGGGCCGGCTCCAGCTTTTTTGCCACCTCAAGCATAGAAGAAAAAAAGAAAAAGAAAAACCCGATTGAGCTGTCGCCGAAGAGGAAGGGAGGGAGTGAAGGACCTGCTGCCGAATTGCCACTGAAGACTGAAGTGGAGCAATAGAGTTGCTGCCGAAGTGCAGCCGAAGAGGAAGTGACGGACTGAAGGACCCGCCGCTGAATTGCTGCCATAGAACCGAATGTGCCGCCCCAATAATGTACAGAGTGCTGCCCCTTTCTATTGGCCGCCCCAGGCACCTGTGTCCTTCGCTGGTGCCTGGAGCCCGCCCTGGAGACATGAGAAGGAGTGTGGTCAGAGGTGGAGTTAATCTGGGAAAGGTGACACTGATATTTTGACCTTTGTTTTTCTCCCAAATCAGAACAAAAAATCAAAGCATCAGTATCTGTCACATGACAAAATTCCAAAGCATGGTTTCGCAGGGAAAGTCCGTAAATGCCTTACAATGCATCTTACTCCTGCTTGCAGCTTCTTGGGAGACATTATCAGAGACCTGTCAATCAGGCAAGCTGGGTTGGCCATGCCGGTGAACAAGTCTATTTGAAATGCCTCCAGCAGCTGCAGGAAGGTTCTACCAGATCTCCTGCCTCAAGCAGCAAGAAAACAGAACAACCAAAAAGGATACTAAGACTTACCAAGATATTATTTAGCCTCAGGGGGGCCCTGCAGTAGGATTGCTGGAAACCGTCTTCTGACACACAGATTTCTGGCTAAAGTAGCTTCCCATGTGTGGGCAGGCCTCTCTGATGAATAGAGAAGTTGGCAGAAGTTCACCTCAGAGGAAATGCCTGGGCTAAACGGACCCTGCTTATGCCGTGGTGAGTCATGCCACAAGTGCCATGATAACTGAACCCTGCTCATGTAAGCTGCTCCTTGGATTGTGAAACCGAATGATACTAGCCAATTTCTCCGGTCCCAGACACTACTGTAGGAACCTCTGTCTTGCAGTGTCCAGTTATGCTGGCTGGATGCTGCAAGCTTATATAAGTTTGTCAATTTAACAGAGAAATGGATATGTACCAGGCTTGTTATCCCAAGGAGAGTTTCTGATATGCTTCAAACCAAATGCACTGCTTCAGGTAGAATAAACAAGCAGATTTATTAACTATACAGATTTTAAGTGATTATAAGTCAAAGCATAACAAGTTAGATTTGGTCAAATGAAATAAAAGCAAAATGTATTCTAAGCTGATCTTATCACTTTCAATGCCCTTACAAACATATATGCTTCTCACCAGACGCTGGCTGGTTGCTTTTCAGCCAGGCTCTCCCCTTTGATCAGCGCTTCAGTCGCTTGTTGTGGTGTCTGTAGATGTAGGTGGAAGAGAGAGAGAGAAAGAGAGAGAGAGAGCATGGCAAATATCTCTCCTTTTTATCATGTCCTTTCTTCCCTCTTGGTTTTGTCCCCCCACCCTGTTTCAGAGTCAGGTGAGCATTACCTTATTGCAGTTCCAAACTGACCAAAGGAAGGGGGATGACTCACTTTTTTGTTACTGTCTAGGCCAACGTCGATTGTTCCTGTGAGGCTGGGCTGGGTTTGTCCCATCCACACCCTGATGAGGTGTGAACTGCCCCTCTGCTTCTGGAGAGTTTTTGTCTGGGCTTGCTTTAAGCAATGAGGATACATTTTCAGCATTATAACTTTATACATAAAATTATAACCTATAATATTACTATAACATCACTATAACAATTACTGTAACATCACTATAAAAACCATGCTCAGTGCATCATGAACCTTCTGAAGACACCCAACATGACAAACTTTGCATTGGATACAACACAATCATTTTATAAAGATGAACATGGGGGTGTAGGGTGTTCCCCCATGGTACAGAGCATCACAGAAAGGTCTTGGAGAAAAATCCCAACAATGTGGTTTGATCAGTCTCCACAGTCTGGCTGTTTGCATGCAAGAGTTAGAGAAATCAAGCAGCCATTTTTGTGGCCTTGTCCAAAAGTGCACTAATAATTCATTCGATATACCATCGAGTCCACATTTCAGGGTTTCCACAGCTCCTCAATATTGAGCTACTTGTTGTGACTTTGCAGTCTCTGCAGAGTGAACAAAGATACTCCTTGACTTGTTTTGTTCTGTGCTTTGCTTTTTGGGCTGGTTTACCATTAAGGCTGAGTTGGGTGGAACAGCACCAATAGTGGATGGGCAGTTGACTGATGACCAAGTAATTTTTTTGCCCAGGATGTTAATGCTGTGGCCAAGTTTTAAACCTAACTCAGTACATTTGAATAGGGTTTTGAAACTGCAAAATTAGAGATACTGGGTTTGTTGATCTGTCACCTGCTTCTGACACAGTGAACCATCATGCACTTCCATTGAAATTGGCAAGAATTTTGAGAAATAGCAAGATGGTCCAAGTCATCTCCTCCCTGCTCCAGAATCCTCATTTCTTTGTTGAAATGGATGGTCAGAAACATCAATTGCATACTCAGTGGAATGGACTGCTCCAAGGTTCAGTGTTATCACCCCTGCTCTTTAATGTCTATACAAATGACCAATTAGAATTTCCCAACGGGTAAAGTTCTTTTATATAGATCTTTGCATTGTCACCAAGTTGAAAAGATTTGAGGACACTAAGTCTATTCTAACTGGCTTCCTGAGTATACTTGGCAAATATTCTCACACATGATTCCTGAATGCCAACCTTAGCAGGACACAGGTGTGCGCCTTCCATTTGAAACACCATAAAGCCAAGGAAAAACTGCAAATATTGTGGCATGGTACAATCTTTGAACCATGTGTACCTTGGGGTCACTTTAGACTGAAAGCTGACATTCAGAGAGCACCTCAAGAAGTTGAGAAGAAAGTGAACTCCAGGAATTGTGTACTCCAGAAATTGGCCAACACAAAATGGGGAGCTGACCCAAAAACACTCCAAGCAACTAATCTCACCCTCTGTGAGTCACTGCAAAGCACTGAGTCTCCTTCCCCCTCTACCCCCCGTCTCAGGATGGTCTTGCTCAATCCATATGCACAAAATTGATTGTTAATTCAATCAATCCTGCAGGATTATCACAGGGACTTTGAACTGACTCCCACTTTGTCGTTATGCTGCCTTTCAGGGATTGTACCACCATCAGTGAGGTGGGATGCCTTCAGTAAAAAGGAGAGACAAAAACAGATGCATGATTCCAGACATCCATATTGCATGGACACATTCCCCCAGCCAAGAGGCTGAAGTCTGGAAAGAGCTTTGCCTCTGAAAATCCCTTCCCCCAAAATATCACTATGGAAGGCTACAGAGTAACAAAATTGGGTAAATGTCGATGATCTTGAAGAACCTGGTTCCTTTAGAACAAGTCCCTCCAAGTACTAACCTTGAATGAAAACACTGGTGTGTTCTAAAGAAAGTGAGAGCTGGGGTGGCAAAGAATGGTGACAATTTGATCAACTGGAAGCTCAGGAATAACCCCAAATGTGAATGTGGAGAGCATAGGCAAATACTTGAACACTGCCTGATTTAGTGCACCCTTCAACATCCTGCAGTTCCAAGACACTATTTGAGATAAATTGACACCACCAGGTCTTGGATGTGGTTTTGGAGTGACAAGCTATGAAGGTGATTTACTCTTTCCACTTTAACAAGGTGTGACTCTGCCCTTGTGGCAGCCTGCCTTGTTCACCCTAGGATTCAATGGGATAACATGGCTATATGAGGCAGTTGTTTTGAAGCACTGCTAATCCCTGCATTTTCCAGTGTGAAGTTATTTACTGTTGGAAACAAGTTGGTTCTTTGTTTAAGTACCCATTTTTCATCCACAAATGCAGAGATATCGCCAAGATCCCAGCAAGAATACCTGAGGGAAATCAACAATGTGAACCGTTTTTAAAGCAAATAATCATTCTTCACATCTTTGAACTAATAGTAATATGTGTACTTTAATTCATGTGCCTAACGTGCACATTTTCCAGTGCTACAACTCTAGAGAAAAATGTCTTTTAAAAAGAGCAATGTTTATAACACTCCTTTAAAGAGGAATAATAGTGCTTGCTATATGTCAGAGGTCCTGTTAAGACTGGAAGAGATTTGTTTCTGCTATAGTGAATAATTAAAAGCCACTTCATGGCATAGCCATATTTTTAAACTATGTTTCACAGCCCCTTTAGGGCTAGAAAATAATTATTTTAGTGTTTGATGCGGATGCATTTTAATATTTGATTATGATGTCTTAGTCATTCCAGGTTTTGCAAAGAATATTTTTCATTCAGCCTTTGAAGTTGTAAGATTTCTTTAGCGTTTGGGGAAAAAACCCACCTTTTTAATTTATTAATAGATATTTTAGGACTGCTCAAGGGATGATTTGTGTTTTGATTAATATTAAGGAATCTGTTTGGAACTTTTGAGTGTGACTATGTGCACACGCTTGACATTTATGATCTTTTGTCTAACAGGATGCATGTAATTGGATGCTCAAGATTCAGTGAAGTTCATTTGAAATATGCAGGGGAATATTCAATGCTTTCCTACTTCCCAACCTACTCATTTACTAGGTGCAAATGAGGGCAGAATTTTGCCCAGAGAGAGGTACTGTACCTGTATTTGGGTTGGTCTGGCCAATTGAATATTGGAGCATGGATATCAAGTATAGGCAGAGCAAGTGATTTCATTTCTTCAGCTTTCAACAGCGAGTGATTTGTTAGTACAATATTCAAAAAGGCAGTTGCATGCTGACCTCGTTGATGCTCAGAAAGCTGCCACCTTCACATCAGCTATTCTAGTCACATTACTTATCTTCACTGGTCAAGAGAGACCCGCAGATTAAATGCCCCTAGATGGAGATACTGCTGCAGAAACTTGCCAGTTTCTTTGTTAACACTAATGGGAATCCTATACGGTAAAACAAAGGCGTGTAGAAGACACTCCTGCACTTCATCAGCAATAGACAGGGTCTTTTTTTTGTATTGACCACAATACATTTGTTCAAGAAAAATGTGTTGTATTAAGAAGAAATACCTGTCAGAAATTGAAAGATAAGTTGGGTTTGTCAACAATGTGGGGACCGATTTTCAAAAGCCGTTCACTCTTACAAGTTACCTGGCTGTTAAGACAATCGAAGTTACAAGAATAGTAGAATCTCATTCTTGTAAGTGCAAGCTGCATAAAATACATTTAATGGGTTTACATTTAGCATTATGAACTGGTGTGTTGATTTAGGGTCTGGTCCAAAACCCCTTGTAGCTAATGAAAAGGTTCCCATTGACTCTAATGCGCTTTGGGTCAGGCTCATATACAGCACTTCTACAGTGGATGCTGCTGGGTAGAATTGTATGTTTGGGATAGGATAAACAAATGTTTGAGGCTGGGATTTGGGTATCTAACTTCTGTAGGCTCCTTTGAAAACCCTAACCTAAAATGCCAGTGTGTAGTTTTGGGTGACGAGCCCAGCATCTGTATTAAGAACATGATGAAGGTCATAAAACAAGCTGAGGAGATGCAGGAAGGGTACAATCCTTGTATCAGAGTCAATGGCAAAAACCCTATTGACTTCAGTGGTTTTAGGATTACACTTGAGATGCATACCCTTAGATCTGAGGGATACATTACCCTGGGTTGTGGTAACGAAGTATGATATAGACTCTTTCCCTTCCCTTACTGGAGAAATGAGAATAAGTACGAGACAAAAGAAGGCGTGGAGAGATAACAATATTGTAATTATGGTTGATATTTAAATTGGAATCCTTGAAACTGCAATTCAAAGGAAAAGAGGAGAGAGAAGCAATGGATACAGTAATGTATTGCTTCCTAACACATTGTATGGTGAGCGTATTTCCAGATCTGATCTTTGTCCTGACCTATGGTTAAAGAAAGAAAAATCACATTAGTCGCTAAAGTAAAATGGTCACATTATGATTGCACATTTAATATCACCTGGAAATTAAAGCCTATTATTTCTGAAACAGGATGTATTGTTTTGGAGAGACCAGCTTTAAAAGCATGTAAGAGCGACCTAGCCAAACAAACAGAACAGGTACATATGTAATAGCAGAAGGTACTTCATT